TTCAGGGCTGAAAGAAACAAAAAAGCTCTGAAATAAACAGGCACCAGGAGAGCCAACAAAAAGGGAACTGAGCTATAACTGGTGATGTCTGAAAAAACTGATGGGGACAAAAGAGTGGTTTAGAATTGGAGATGGGAGGATGGGATTCTGCCCAGGAAAATTAAGGGAGGAAAGGCGGAGAGTCCTACAAACTACGGACCAGGCACAGGTGGAAAGCTGACTACTCAACCATCACTCTTAGAATTTACAAGGGGAAGGAGAGAACCTGGAGAAGAGATTGAGGGGGGGGTCAAGGATTATGCTATGTGAGACAACCACATCTGCACTCTGCTGTACAACAAGAAGTGCCTATGACGCACCAAGTACGGCCCACGTCATGTCATGCGCATGCTCAAACGACTGCACATTCAGGGAGCGCTTCCTGAGCAACTACAATGTGCGCCTCTCCAGGCAGACATCTTCACTTCATCTGCTCGTTTAATCTTCCCCAAACCCACAATGCTTGCTACTGTTGTTGACTCTGTTTTATAGGTGAGGAAACGAAGGGCCAGGAAATTAAGCTGTCCAAGGTAGCATAATTAGGATACAGAAGAGCCAGGGTCCAAAACCCCAGTGTTATTTTTATTTTTTAACCTCAGAGCCCCTGCAGACTCTTAATCACTTCTCCCCTGCCTGGATGAGGTAGGTTTTAAGATACCCATTTCACAGAGGAGAAAGCAGACTGAGAAGGGCTCAATCACTTGCTTGACATTGCACAGGTAATAAACTAACAGTGCTCAGATTCAAATCCAAGTAGCATCTGTTGCCAAAGACTGCACTGCCTCCAATACAGGGGAAAACCAGCAGGAAGCATTTGGCTGATATTAGTTGCCTTTTTCTAAGGCACCATCAGAGATGTCGGCTGTAAGAAGCCAGCACCAACCACAAAGGATTCTAAAGATCAAAGCTGGTATTTTAACAGACCTTGGAAAGAACACAAAGCATAAACTCAGAGGGTTACAGAAGCATTAGTAATCCAGCTCTGAAGAGCCAAGACAGATATGCAGGCCACAATGGTTTTCTCCTTCAAAAATTTCAACCAGCTTATGATCTAGCCAACAGGGGCATTATCTCTTCACACTTTTTTCTCTCAAATGCAATAATAATTCTTATCTGGCCTTGCAATAGATAAAAATGCTGAGGTGCTTTGAAACCTGTAAGAAGCCAAATACATGTAAATTACTGTCATTCTTATTACCTATGCCTTTTCTGGTCAGAATTCATCAGTTCTGCCTACATTCCTTACTAAGGTACACACAATTTAAAATCATCATTTGCCTCCTTCCTGCAATTCCAGTGCTTATTTTCTTTCACCTGGTGTCATGGGTGTGTGGGTTGGGTGAGTGACCCCGTTAGACCTGTGTGTCTCCAAAGCCAAGGGTTATGTCTAAAACTCTCATCATCCTCACAAAGCTCTTCAAAATCTGACTTGAACTGAGGGTAGCTGACTTACAGCTGAAGTACACTATCCAAGCGGTACTTACAGTGTTAAAAACTGAGGAGGAGCCGAGTGTGGTGCCACATATCTGTAATCTCAGCACTCCGGAGGCTGAGGCAGGATAGCCGCAAGTTTGAGGCCAGCCTGCACTACACAGTGAATTCAAGACCAGCCTGAATTACACAGTGAAACCCTGTTTCAAACTGCCCATCCTCCCCAAAAAAAACACCAAAAGGAAAAACCCAGCCAAACTGAGGAGGATACCTGAGCCTTGGTCTTTGTCTGCTAGGAACAGGGACGGGAAAAGGAGAAACTGAGAAAGACTCTAATGTTTACTCCATTCTCACACATGAGGCTCACCCTTCCCAGTGGGGTCTCTACTGTTCTGCTTTCCCTCATCCCTTGGAATTCTCTGAGGCTGCTAGGGGCCCCCCCCTCGAAGTTTAAAAACGTTACTCTAACCCACTAGCTTGTAATTGATAAAATGAAAAAGGAACTGTGTCCTGCCTCATTCATTTCTTTATTTCCAACACCTAACCCAGTCTTGGCATCAGTCAGAGAGAAGATCCTGAGGGGCAGAGAAGTTAGTTAAACTGCTCGAAGTCATACAGTCAATTTCTGGTTGGGAAAGCCAGAGTTAAAGGCTAAAGCAGACCCTACCTCAGTCTGTCCATGAAATGATTTGGAAAAGGAGTTAAGAGTGATTGAGCATGAACTGAGCAGTAGGCACTCTGCTGTGTACCTCAAGGCTGTAGATAGGACAACATCAGTCCCATTTTACACATGAGAACACTGAGGCTCATCGGTAGGTCACCTCTGCCTACATTACTCCTCACTCTTCCCACACACCCACCCCGGCCCGGATAGCAAAAAGTCATCCTCTACCCTTGAATTTAGAAGCACTTTTCTTTCTTTCTTTGAAAGAATTCAGGAAGTCTTTCTTCTCTGATCGCCTAGAATTTGGCAGGGATCCTTCTTGTGCTGTCCCATAGGCCTCGATGCCTCTGTCCCTGCGATAGCAATTCTGTACTATGCTGTCATTGATCACTTCGTTATCTGTCTGCCTCATCAAACTCTGAGGTCCTCGAGGGCAGAGAGCAAAGGTCATGTCCACAATATACTTAACACTTATCACCACATACACACATATGCCTGGCACACAGCAAGAGAACAGTAAGTATTTGTGAAAGGAAAAAAGAGAAGAGGAAAAGAAATCAGAAAGGAAGGAAAGAAAGTTTCCAAGAGCCACAGAGTTGCGAAGTACTGAAGTTGAGATTTGAATTCCGGCCTGCCTGGTTCCAAAGACTATACTCTTTCCATAAAAAGTGTCCTAGCTCCTCTTACAGGGAAGCCACGCTCTTACTACTAAGACCCTGTGGGTCGGTCTTAGAACGTGGCACGTAACTACTCTTGAATCATCGTGTGCTGATCAGTAGACTTGAAGCTTTCATTGGTCAGGGCTGGAGAGGGCTATTTCCAGCATGCCTACGACACTGAGAGTGCAGGGTGCTACACAGGGTGGGAGATCCAGGCAGACTTGCAGCCTGAGTCTGTCCCACTGCAGTGACAACAGTGTCCCAGAAGAGAGGAGAACCAGCCCCTGGCCCTCATGATGGCATTCAAGGTCTGGAAAGATCAAGACACTGAGACTATAGTTAGGGTCAAGTTTTTCTAAGAGTCTTAGGAGGAAAAGGGGTAGGGGTTGACGTAAAACGCAGGGTCTTATGGCTGGGGTTCAGGAGTGCTTTTAGGAGTTTAAACTCAGTTCAAGACCACGTAAACCAGGTAGTTTCCCAGGGAGTTGAAATATTGGTGGGGAGAAGTTTTGTTTTTAGTGTGTTCCCGTCCACCTCCCAAGAGGTTTACAAAAGGCACAGCATACACAGTACAGTGAAAATACAAATTACTCACTTGAAGATCAGGAAACATGTTTTTTTCTCTCTGAAAAATCCAGTTCTTTCCCCATACTCCACCCCAACTCCAAGACCAATGCAGCTTTTACAAAGTTTTATGTTTATGGTTTCTCTTTGAAATTTTATTTTAATAATGAACTTTAAGTACTTTTGAAGCTGAAAACCACATGTGACTGTTAGTGTCACCGTGAACCTCCACAGGCTATGATTTGGGACAATGGCCAAGGCAAACACAGATCTGGGGAGTGAGAAAGTTAGCAGCCCATGAATCAGGTGACGTGCGAAACGGAGCTGAGCCTTCTCCACCTCCCAGAGTGAGTCTGGGAAGTCCCACCCTAACTTCCTCCTGTGTCAAGGGCATGAAAAGACCTATGAACTGACTCCTTGATCTTTTGATCTTGGGGATCTTTTGTCCTTGTGAACTTTACAAATAAGTCAGGTGAAACCATATTTGTCTAAAATCAAAGAGAACTGTAGCTTTGCACATATACACACTGCATAGAAAATGGAAACTTTCCTTCTTGAATAAAGGCAAGTTTGATTTAAACTTCAAGGGTAGAACCTCTGTTTCTAGGCTACATTACTCCCATATTCGAACAAAGCGCCCTGGCTCAGGGTTAATTACTGTCCTGAGAGGCCACCGAGGCTATGAGCTTGTGTCACAGCGAGCGCTCAGTACTATTTCTGTCTCTCACAGTTCTGAACTCGTATGTTCGGAAGGAGCTCTTCAGACTTTTCCTCTCCAGTGAGCGGTTGTTCATTCCTCCCCGCAGTCAAGACTGCTGCTTTTCAGATTTCCCATCATGCCTTTCAATAAGAAAACCTGAGAACCTGCTCACTTAAAATCAGGTGTGAGTAAGAGCCCAGGAAGTTGTTCAATGAACAAACCAAGAGGTTTATATGCCTTTATCGTAAACTTCCCAAATCATGTGCCTGCCTGCTCAAGACATTTAATGGCTACGTTTCCTACCAAACAAGTCCAGTCTGCCCAGGAGGGTATGGTTTTCAAGGTCCTCGAGCATCTGCCCTCCAAGCACACTGCAGTATCCTTCTTAGTAAGCTCTAGGTGTTTTCCCACACTCATGAGTGCCCTTGGCCTCCCCCTGTGTTTTGTTCGTGTCCCAGGCAAGGCCAGCTCCTTCCTGAAGTCTACCGCATGGTCTCAGTTACAAATAACCTCTCTGTGCTCCACTCAGATCATTCTAGCAGCATCCCTCCTGTGGCATCTACCACCTTCTGACTTACAGTAATGCATGCTTTTAGGACCATGCCTAGTTCTCTTTACTATCCTGAGATCTTCAGGGGCGCTACAATCCCTGATGCTGCCTCTTGCTGAATGAATGCACAAATGAGCAGAAACAAATAATTCGTCAGGCTCTGTTCTCCGACTGCTTTCCCCAGGAGTCCCACCACAACGTGTCCAATGCTGCATCCGTGAGTTCCTGCTAGATCCACTGAGGGAGGGGAGTGACTTTTCCTTGGGGTAAGTGCTAAGCCACATCCCTGCCCTTCCCTAGCTCCTCCCCACTGTTTTGGCCTCGTTTTCCTGTAGGAGGAACTGTGCCACACGTCCCCCACGTGGAGTGGCACGTGGCCTGCTGGGCACTCACCACTGCCAAGTCGCAGGAGCAGCACGTCCTGGAGCCTCCGGTTGAGGTCGCGGAGCTCCTTCATTTCAGACACGAGTGCCCCGTACTCTTTCAGCTTCTTAGCCTGCTGCACCAGCTGCCTCCGAGTCCGCTCCAGCTCCTGCTGGAGGTGGCGCATCTCCTCCTGTTGCTGCTGGTAGTTGCGCAGCAGTTCCTCATACAGAGCCCTGGGCACAACGGCATCCTCCAGACTGTCCATATCCTCCATGCCCGGTGAGGCCTCCACGAAGACCTCTTCCGGACAGGTGCTGTGGCCCACGCTCAGGCCGTTCTGTTTCTCCAGCCGAGCCACCACTGCCTCAATGCTCTTGTGTGCCACTTCGCTCGGCTTCCGCCCCTCCGGTCTCTGTGTAGGACAACGAGAGTCAGTTCAGGCAAGGGCAGCTGGGACTTTCTTGGACTGCAGCTCAATATTTCCCCAGACAATCCTAGAATCACAGAACCACAGAACATCAGTACTTGGAGAAACCTGTGGTAAACAGTCAAAGCCCTTTATGTTAACAGAGGTCCAAAGTGAGGAAGAGGCTTGTCCAAAGTCATAATGTCAGCTGGTGGCAGAACTAGGATTCCAGTCTCCCATGCCACCGCTTTGCCACTTAGCTGTGTCTACTACGACCACCCTTCTAAATTCCCCTGTCCCCAATCCACACAATGCCTGAACACAATGCTTGCTCGCAGGGGTGAAAGGAAGGCATCCAGTAAGTATTCATAGAGCATCAGGGCAAAGGCAGTCCAGCCCAAACTATCCCAGTGAAGTCAATCTCAAATCTTAACAATAAAAGCATTTTTTGAAAAGGGAACTCTACCGTGTAAATTTTTCAATAACGCTTTAATGAGGAAAGATGTTAAAAACTCTAACTTACTCTAATCTACGGCAATAAATATTTCTTATTTTCTCTGTGTGTCCTTGGTCTACTCACTCAAAACTGGCACTTGGCAGAAGCCTCATAAATATTTACTCAATTGAAAACTCCAAAGAATGCTAGCACCGGGAGGCGCTTTCCATTCTCAGTTTCCCTCGCTTTACAGGTGATGAAATGGGGGTCCAGGCAGCGGAAGGACCACCCTCAAGTTCTTGGTGAGTTACACGTCAGGACCAGGACCAGAATTTGGGATCCAACTTCCAGCCCAAGGCTTCTTTCTCCACATCTGCCAGCTCCTCCCTCAGCAAGACAGTGGGTGCAGAGAGGAGTTCATTTAGAAAAGAACTGCCTGTGGCTACTCAGGGGATGGGGACTCGGGTGCCTGAGAAAATTCCAGCTACAGTGGAGAAAGCTTCCGCTGAGGGGTGACGGGAGTTACAGGATCAACTTCATTCTCTACCCAGGGCTGGAGGGTTAGCAGCTCTCCTGACCGAGGATACTAGTGGGAGGTGCAGATAACCAAGGACAGAAGATTCTGGACAACTTAACTCTGCCGTATGTCAGGTCAGGCCTGCCTTATTTAACCTTTCACTTGCTTTTGGGAAATTAAAGGAAAACAAACAAACCCACAACTCTGAGATTGAGTAACATGGTAAAATCCCATGTCCTTTTACCTGCTGGGATAAAGTGCTCCTAGTATAGATGAATTAATCACCTAAAATTATACCAAACACTTTAGACACCTGTCTGCATCACTATACTGTGAGACCCTGGCCACACGGACTCTATCTGGCTAATCTCCCTGACCCAAGGGGCCGGTACTGGGCCAGGCCCATAGCAGGGGAATAGTGAATGTCATGAATTAAACTCAACTTCATCTTTTGAACTATGCTTTGGGAACATGCGTTGTGTCCCAAATCAGATCACAATCAATACAGTAGTCACTTTTTTCCTTCTCTCCTTTCCCCCCTCCTTTGGGATATGAACTGCACCAAAACAAAATGAAACAACTAGCTTGCTGAATAAGCTCTCTAGCAGATTTTCAAAGTAAAGGCCAGAGGAGACTGACCGGGGCACACAGCAAGGAATGCATCATCATGCAAAAGTTTTCACCCAACCCAGAGCCCCACAAACGCCTTCTGTGAACCTCACTAACATCTTTCCCCACTGAGTCCAGCCTTGGTTGTTTGGGGCAATCTAATAACGACTGTCTTTAAATTGCTGCTCAAGATCAACAGCTGCTTCACTGGAACTCCGTGACCTCTCCAGAGCTGAGGGCCAGGGACAAACACATCGTTCCAAACTCCCAGCAGCGATGATCCTGCACAGACTGTCCAGACGGGGCCGTGCTTAGTGGCACAGCGTGAATCAGGGCTCGCTGGAAAGTAGGCCAACAAGGCAAATACACGCTCACTGTCCCAAGCTGCTTCTACCCTGCAAAAATCATGCCCCGAGACACAAGGGAAAGGAGACCAGACCAGAATTCTTTATCCACGGGAAATATGAAAACTACCCCATATAGTTCCAAGAAAAGTGAACATTTTGTTACCTTGATGTGTCTAAGCTGTAAATCTTCTTCCCCATAGTCTTTGATCTCCCCATCTTCTTCTATGTGATTGAGAGAAAGTTTGGGGATTTTTATTTTCTTCTGCATCACACTGTTTTCAAGGTCAGATTTGTCTTCTAGAATGTACATCAAGAGAACAAGGTTGATTATGAATCCAAAAGCTCAAACCCCCAAAACTTCAAATTCTAGAAAATAATTGAGGCCAGACCAGTTAAACAGGGAAAGCAAACAAACTTGCTCCATCCTGAGGGCAGGGATCCTAAAAGCAATAGTGCAGATCTACCCGGAGGATCAAGAGTGTTGGCTAAGACCACTGCACACAAAGCGTTGACATAAATCTAATTAATCTGCCGGGGTCGGGGGGAGTCTCTAAATCCATCTCTTTAAAGCGTTGCCTTTTATGGAATTCTAGAATCTTGGAACTGGAATGGCCCTAGACTTCCATCTGGCTTGAACTTAACTGGCACACGAACATCAATAACTAAGATATTTCTAAGCCAAGTATTTCCTCAGGAAAGCGTGCTGAGTTTCTGCCAGTCCAGGTACCAGCAGGGATGAGAGGAATGATCTCTTCAGGAGGTAAGACCTACATTGGAAGAGCAGAGCACTCCCCTCAGCCCTGACACAAGATAGGGTGACGAAAGGCAGGTATGAGAAGGGTAACAAGTAACATTTATTGCCTTTTAATAGTATCAAATCCCAGGATGACAGAGTTGGTGATCAACTAGTCTAATGCATTTCATAGATGAAGAAACTCAAATGCAGAGGATGTGGAGAGGCTTACCCACGGTGTGAGTCCGTGGGAAACAGCCCGCTGGCATCTTGCACTTCTGTGTGATCACAACACGTACTAAATGTACATTATGAACTGTGAAGTGCTACTCAAATACAAAGGGATATTATTTCTCCTCACTTTCTCATTACTTACACTCAACCTGAGAATCTAAGACAGTTTTTGTTTTGTTATTGTACAGATTTCCCACTGTACTTCCAAGACCTATATCTCACCAGAGGTAGCAAAAGTAAAAGTTCAAGAAGCAGGCTCAGAGGTTAAAGTTTAAATCCACCATGGAAGTGGTCCCTTGTGATCAAATTGTTTGTATTCTGGGATTGAACTGAGACTTTGGGCACTATTGTTTCTTTACTCTCCATTAGGATATGCTAAATGCATTCTCTAGCATGTTGCCCAATGCATGATACTGGCGTGTGGTCAACAATTATTTAAATCCAGTCTCCAAGGGTCTTTATGTGTAGGACGGTGCATACGTGTGTGTGTGTGTGTGTGGGTGTATTCATGCACATATGTGTATGTGTTAAACATGTTCTTATGCTTCTCCCAAGCCAAACTTCTCTCCTAGTAAAGCTGAGAAAGATGCTTACTGTTACGTCTTGTGCCTAGATGTCCCCCCAAAGCCTCATGCGGCCATAGGCAGGGCTTTTTGGTTGGATCTGGAGTGAGTGATACTGGAATCAAAGGTGTATAATTACTAAATCAGTCCACTGATTGGTCTGGCGTAGTTCTGGGTAGGATTAGGGATGCTTCATCTTGCATGTGAGTGCTACCCACCCTAAGAGTAAGGCTGTAATATAAGGGACAGAAAGAAGGTTGGTGCTTGTTGCTTGCTTCCTGCTTTCGCTGTCTTATGTCTACCATGGATTGTTTCTCCTCTGCAATGTCCCTCTGCTATACCACCCTGCCTTTGAGCCAGCAGATTATGGACTGAAACTTTTACAAACTGTGAGGCAAAATAAACCTTTCCGCCTTTAACTTTGGGTGTCAGGTATTTTGTCTCAGCAATGAGAAAAGTAACTATGACAATTATAAAGTAATAAATGTTTTGAAAAGTTCTCAAATGCAAAGTCTTCTGGATGGTCTTAGGAAAGGAGCTCCGTTTAGTTAGAGGTGGGACTCTACTACTATCAGAAGGACCTGAGTATGGCCCTTAGCTCTTCCATGACAGGCAAAGTACAGATGAGAAAGGCTTCAGTCTCTCTGAGCTCAAGCCTCTCCTCTGCAACAGGAGTTGTAGGGATGAAAGCAATAAATCATACAATTCACCAAACTGTGCCTGGCCCACTAGGCACTCAGAGAATGCAGCACTGTACTTGGCAGTATCAGTATGCCTGAAGCATTTTACTTTTTTCAGCATATGGTAGGTAAAGATTTAACTGAAAAAACCCAAAAACGACTTCAGTAGGGTATGGGGTGTAAGGGAAATGTCCAGGGAAAAGAAAAGATGGTGTTTGTTAACAGTCTCCTGCTGATGAAAATGGCCTTTCCTGCTGGGCAAGGGAGTGATCATTGGGTTCTATTTTCACAAGAATGACCCGTTCTCTTTGTGCCTATAAAATACACCCAATGGGTTAGGCATGAACCACATTGAGGACTTGTATATTTCTGAAAAAGTAATAGCTTCCCTCCTACAAAGCACTGTTGACTCTTTCTAAGGCAAAAAGCTGCTAGTGGGAAAAACCTAAAGAAAGGACTGCAAATGATATTATTCTCCTAGAGATGCATGTGTGCTCGTACACAGATGTGTGCAGTAGGGAGAGGGAATTGAAAGAGAGAGAAAAAGGGAGAGAGACAGAGACAGACAGAGAGGGAGAGAGAGAGAGAGCAGATGAGAGGTGGCATTAGGACTTCTGATAGTGTTGCGGGCAAAGCTTCTGAGTTAGTCTCCAGTTTGACAAGTTTGAGGGCGATGGGTTGAGATGCAGCCACCAAACTGGAAATACCAAGCTGTGCTTTGTTTCCTGAGCTGAAACTTTGTGACTCGGGATCACAATGGTGTGGAATTGGCACAGAGAGAAGCTGTCATTCAGACTCACAAAAGAAAGTAAGATTTAAATAGGAAATGATCTTCAGATCATGTTGTTCAACCCTCTGACAAGGAGGATGAGCAAAGTGAGGTTCCAAATGGGGAGGTCTATGCATCCATCAGTGTAGCAACTAGGCCCAGGGATCAGCAGGGAAGAGCAGGGTCCCCATCTCAGAAAGCTCATCATTATTCAAGGTCATAGAAATTAGTGTCACAACATGAAAATACCAGAGCCTTGACCATGTGACTCAGGTGCAGCGTTTTTCCTCCTATGCATTACCTTAACATTTTCTGAGAATTTACATTCTGCAAAGTCAAGGCCCCAGCCCTGGAGACCCGGATGAATGAGCAGCCAGATGTGGACACAAGATAAGAACCCATGAGGAGATAACCAAAGATGTCTAGTACTGAACTGAACATGGAACTGCTCTAAGGTTTCAGGAGTGAGAGAAACCACTCCAGTCAGTGTAAACGTAAGGCTTTGAAAGGAGGTAGCAATTGCTGGTTAAAATGAGGCTTGGGAGGCTTCTATTGAGAAAGACAGCATTGGCTGCTGGACTCCAGGTGGTATATGTTGTGCCTTGCAAGGAAGTTGGTCTGAATTTTGTTTCTGTTAGAGATATTGCCTAAGTGGTAGAAAAATTTCACTGCAGTCTACTTTTGGAATGGTGGCGTGCTTACTGTTGAGGACTTTTGGTCAGATTTATGTTTGAAATTAAGATTGAAGAGGCAGCACAGTGATTTGAAGCACTTGGCCTGAAGGAAGGCTGTAGTGGAGCTGTGGATTGCAAGGATGAGCAGAGAAGAACATGGTTGTTGAAAAGGAATAGGACAATAAAAAAAAAAAAAAAAAAAAGAAAGGAGGTAGCATTTGAGCTAGACTCCTTACTTGCTGGACAATCTTATGCAAATTACTTTTTGGAGGTTATTTTCTCATTTGCGATTTGAAGTAAATAATTCTTACACTGCCAGAACGCTATGAAGATGCTCGATTCTATATGTTAAGAACTTGCGCAGCTGAAGAGTTGGCACTTAAACTTGAAGAGTCAGTGAACATAAAAGGATAACCATTTAAGGACAGCAAAAATGTAGACCACACACGAGGGGGAGGAATAGAAACCGTAAGAGGAAGGCTGGAAAGATATTTAGACTAAACCATAAAAGATGGTTAGTTACAGGCAGGGGGAGAGGTGAGGAAGGAAGATGAGGTGGTTGGGGCTGGAGGAGGGGAAAAAAGCCTTGAGTTCAGAAGAATTAAGGTTCAGTCTGCAGCTATACGGGAAGAACCAGGAGTCAGACAATCGATTCCAAGTCCAGCTTTGCCACTGGATAGGTGGGAGAATTAGGCAAGCTGCTATCTTATGTATTCTTTTTCTCTTTTTGTAGAAATGGCGATATGACTTTTCCCTCCAATCAGCTCAGTAAATGTGCCTTGGAAACAACAGACCCCTGTGCTGAAAAACATTGGGCGATAGCTCAGTAGGCACTACCCGCTGGCCTGAGGTGTGAGGCAGGCTTGCTTCTGGAATTAGTGTCCTATCTCACTGCCTGGCTGGGGAGGGTGACAGCTGGGAGTGCTCTGCTCCCCACTGAGAAGTGATGACAGGGAGCCTCATCTGTACCAGCTCTACCCCAGGCTCCGCACTCTTCTGTCTACCTGAAAGCTTTCCTCCTTGTCTGCTTGACAAACTCTGCCTCTACTTAGTTCCTCTTTCCTCCTCAAAGATCCCATTACAAAATGTACATATTTTCTTTATAGTCTATTATCTTACTGTGCTGCTTCCCAGCTTAGAGGTCTCCCTTCCCTCCTGGAATGTGAGTAATCTCAGGTGGGACCACATCATAGGACTAGCCATAAAACAGGGATTCATCAAACAAAAGCGATTACTAAAAGAATAATAAAAGGAGGCTACACCAATAAGCACATGAAAAAATGCCCAATAATATCAGTCAATAGGGAAATGTGACTCAAAACTATAATAAGATATCATTGTATACTCAGGATGGCTACAACTGGAAAAAGACAGGGGGCGGGGAATAACAACTACGGGGGATGATCAGAAAAATTGGGACCTTCACATTTTCTTAATGGGAATATAAAATGGGAAAGCCATTGTGGAAAACAGTTTGTTAGTTGCCCAAAAAATTAAACACAGAAATAGCATACATGTGGCAATTCCACTCTTAGACTATTCAAGAGGAAATAAAATATATGTTCACACAGAAACTTGCTTACGAATATTTATAAAAGTATTATTCATAATAACCAAAGGGTAGAAACGACCCAAATGTCAAGC